TATACACATGCTCGAGCAGAAACACAACGTTTCCGAATCATTGCGTAGAAAGTGATTACTGCAAGGATAACAAAAATCACGTGCGCGAAGTTTTCACACCTGTTCCCCCTTCGAGTAGGTAGTGGATCAGTTCACGGCACGCTCCCAGCTGTCCTTTCACAAACGCGTCTTTCGCGCACCTCATTCTAATGTTGGTTGGACAGTAGGAATATTTGTTTGTATCTGTTACATGAACAAAGGAGTTGGTGTAGAAGTGATAGAGTGTGAACATTTCAAACTCTGTGAACTGTACAATACTTGTCTTCAAGCTATTGAAATATGTTTTAGTTGTTTGACAAATAACACCATTTATTCACAACTATGAATGTTGTCTTAGCTTTGTTAAGAAAGAGAACAAAGATAAGATACAATTTAGACAGCAGATTTAAGAGTTTTTTCAGTGATTCTGAATTCTGATATAAATTACATTGAATTGTTTGTGAAAGAATTGGTGTAGAAACACAACTTCCCAAAGGAAACTTCAGTTTCAAATTATTTTAAGGCGTGCTGAACATGTTTGACTGTACCTGAAATTTTATGAGATCAACAGCTCTTTAAGTGCGTGTGTGAATGTAACACAGGTTGTAATGAATTTATAACTATTTTTAGTCACGATATGGCTGAAATACTGCCACTGTGACTATAAACTTTAACTCACTCACTCACTCATGATATATCGTCTCGCCTCATTAAACTGGTATCAGGATATATCGTCTCTGCACTTAGACTACGAAGCACAGCTCTAATACCAAGTATGTGCATATTTACACATTTACAACAGTACTTCACATCATTAATACATTGTAATAATCTTTTTCGAAAATACAGATAATGAAATTTGTGCAGCTATGTGAACACACCTGTCTGTGTTTTATTGCAATAAGCAGTCTCTCCTTGTATGTCATATATAAGAAGTGTACCTAAGGTCAATTATTTAAACTATAATGTAATTTCCATTACAAAAAGTATAAACGGTATTACCTACTGATCAGAAAGGCTTATCAGTACCCCACCGCCATCACCCCGCCCTAGGCCTACCCCATCCCACACCCTCTCACACACATGCACACACACACTCCCTAACATGCATATCGCTCTGGCCCATAGACCAATATTGTAACCTTTTAAACAGACATGATGTGTATGTCAAGAAAGGCAGGCACGTTAATAGTGGTGCTCAGTCATGGGTATCACTTCGTCATGTGTTTCTAATGATCTCCGTGCATTATGGCGTGGTCCGACGCGCTAACGAACCCGATGTGACAATTACATTACAGAACCATTGAAATACATGTTAAAGTAGTGTTACTCTTGTAACACTATATTTACCCATTACCAACCATTTACGCGTGTACTAAATATATGACAAACCTAACCCTGGTCATACGAAATTTCAAAGGAATTGAAATGCATGTCCTACAATCACAGCATTTACATACGTTACACATGCTAGAAAACACATGAAAACAATGGCCAGATTTACACACCTGTGAAGTACAAGTAAATACAGAGTTGAGTGTTCATTTATTTTAACACCCCTTTAAACGTGTGTAAATCTGACAGCCAGATGATACGTAGATTTCAAACGTTGTTCATATGGCCGCCGGATGAAACGTATATTCCCTAATGTTAGTAAATTTGGGTAATACAGTCATTTTGTGTGGTGTGCCATACGCCTTTCAGTGAGGATTGTGATGGAACGTTTAACTTCCTGTGTTGGAACGTGAATGGACTTAAGAACAAAATCTATCACCCTGACTTTATCAATTATTTACTTGATTTTCAAGTTATATGTCTGGTAGAAACATTTGATGATAATGCTTCTAATGTTGATTGGTTACCTAACTACGATATATTTTACAGCCCTGCTATCAAGTTATCCGAGTATGGAAGACTCTCTGGTGGCGTCTGTGTAGGTGTCCACCAGTCACTGAGTAAAGCTTGGTAGTTGTTAAAAACAGACATTGATAATTGCGTGTGTCTTAATTTCACAAAAGATATATTCTCCACTGATAGAAATATTAATCTACTATGTACATACATACCACCAGCGGGTTCGTCCTATTATAATCACACTCAGTCAAAATGTAACCCTGATCAAGTTGATAACTCTTTATTGTCTATTCTGGCGCAATTAAGTGATTCGCATACATTGTTGTGTGGTGACATGAACGCTCGAACAGGTGAGAACAGTAACCCACAGGTTCCTGTCAATGATGATAGAAATATCAACATTGGTGCATTTGAAGATGATGATGATATCACAGTTGATAATCGAAAGTCACATGATACTGTCATTAATAAGTTCGGACAAAACTTGATAGACCTTTGTTATGCGTTTCAGCTATTTATTGTTAATGGCAGAGTGTTCGGAGACGAACGAGGTGAATTTGCTTTCATGGGACAACAAGGCAATAGTGTTAATGACTATTTCATCTCTTCCCCTGACTTTTTCAATATATCAGCAAGCTGAATATAGGTGATCAGTTGGAATATGATCATTTGCCACTGGAACTAACCTGTAAACTTCCTACCTTGAAAACGTCGAATCATAATACATCGTCGGAAGGTTTGCTTGATAATATCATATGAAATGATGCTCTTTGTCACAATTTTTTGGAAAATCTAAAAACGAATTATGCTCGTGGAATTCAGACGTTTTAGATAAACTTGACAGTAGCGTTGATGACGTAATTGATGATTTTATAATGCATGATTGTAGAGTCTGCCAGCTGCACGAAGAAACGTATAATGAAACCTCGTACGATGACACCGCTAAACTCCGAGTGTAAAATCGCACGAAGGGTTGCACGAAAATCACTTAGGAAATTTAGAAAACTTCGCAGTGATTTAAACAGGAGACTCTACTGTAAGGAAAGAAATAGATACAAAACCCTTTGTAGAAGATACAAATCGGACTTGCGTAAACGAAATGTAGAAAGACTTTGCAAATCAAGTGGTTCACCATCAGCGTTTAGGAAACAAATACGAAAATTCAAGAATAGACCAATCATTGGCAATATAATTACTAAAACATCATGGCTTGCTCATTTTAAAGTTTTTTTTAGAAATGATTGTGTTTTTAATGATTCTTGCACAAGCACTGATATGCAAGATGATGCAATAAGAATGACATTTGAAAATGATTCAGACCCAGAAGCACTTGTATTAGATTCACTCATTACAGATCAGGAAATTTGTGAAGCGTTGATGCACTTAAAACACGGAAAATAAGCTGATTTGGACCAAGTTGTTGTAGAAATGTTGAAGTGTTCACAATCTATCATTATGCAATTTTTGAATAAGTGCTTTAATAAGTTGTTCGAGACTAGTATATTTCCACGCAGTTGGGCAATGTCAGTTATCATCCCTATACATAAAAAGGGGGACTGTACAAACCCCGATAATTACAGAGGTATTTCCCTCATGAGTACTCTTGGCAAAGTTTTTAATACTGTTCTAAATAATCGACTATCAAAATGGGCAAATATGAAAACATGTTATTCCAGAATCGCAAACAGGTTTTGGGAAAAAATACTCAACGTCAGATCATATATTTACAGTACTTGCCGTAGTAGAAAAATGCTTATCTCGCCGTAAGCGGAAGTTATATGTTGCCTTTGTCGATTTTCGCAAAGCTTTCGATTCTGTTGATCGTTCAAAACTTTGGTACTGTTTACGTAATTCTGGGCTTAAAGGAAAAAATACTTAGTTCTGAAAGCAATGTATGATAATGTGAAAGCATACGTACGCTGCGGTGATGATTTAACTGATTTTTTGATTGCCCGATCGGCCTGAGACAAAGTTGTGTTCTCAGCCCCATCCTCTTTTCATTTTTTATCAATGAATTACACTACGAAATTATGGCAACGGAAAACATGGTGTCCAAATGTTTCCAGACCTAATAGAAATGTTAATACTTTTATTTGCCGATGATGTTATTCTATCATCAGAATCAGTTGTTGGGCTTCAGACACAATTAAATATTTTAGAACGTTACACAAAGACATGGGACCTATCCGTGAACCTTGATAAAACACATATAGTCATTTTCAGAAAAGGTGGCCCAGTTGCGGTAAGAGAAAGATGGAGTTTCGATAATCAACTTGTAACTGTAAGAAATCAGTACACATATCTTGGTTTTATGTTTAATACAACCATTAATTTGAAAAAAATCGGTTGCTGAACTAGCCTTGAGAGCAAAGAAAGCATTAGTTAGTTTATTGTCAATTATGCCTAAGTTTGGCGTGTTGACGCCCAAAATATTTGTTAAGCTATTTGATTCACAAATACAGCCTATCTTACTATACGGATCCGACATATAGGGATTCCAGCGTTTTGAAGTATTGAAAAAATACATCTATTAGCGTGTAAAAAGTTTCTTTGTGTGGGGCAGTCAACACGTACATGTATGGTATATGGCAAATGTGGGAGATATCGTTTGTATATCAACTCTTATACCAGATGCATAAAATACTGGCTGAAATTTATATGTATGCATGAAAATAGACTACCCTAAAAAGGCTTACAATATGCTTGTTCATCTGGATGAGTTGGGTAAAGTAACATGGGCATCTCATATCAGAAATCTCCTATTTTCTCACGGTTATGGTTTCGTGTGGCTAAAGCAGTCAGTTGGCAATGTGAATCTTTTGTTTTGTATCAATTCCGAGAAACAGCTATCAATATATTTAATCAAGATTGGCATTCAGTTTCAGATAATAGCTCATGATATGATTCCTATAGAATGTTTAAAATCCTACTCCAACCTGAAAAGTACCTATCACACTTAACATCCAAAAAGTTGAAAATTCATTAATACGATTTAGATTAGGACTATCAAACTTAATGATTAATGAAGGAAGACCTGTGTCCATCGACAGATATCAAAGAATTTGCCCATTGTGTAAATTATCTTTGAAACCGAAATTCATTTTTGTTTCTCTGTCCATCTTACATAGATTTACGTAAACAATATATTCCTGAATGTTACCTCTCCAAGTCACCTACTGTAGCATTTAAACAAATCCTGTCTACTTATGACAACTGTATTAACTTAAAACTATCACAATACATCTACAATGCAATGTCTAAGCGTGATATTCTGTCAAAATCATCTCTGTATTCAAACAGTATGTGATTGTACAATGCATGCAACTCTAATGTATATGGGCCGGAGGCCTGAAATACAATAAACATTTTTGACATATATATCACAAAAACAAAAACCTCCTAATATGTTGTGACAACAGTGTTTGGCTCGTCCTTTAAGAAACATAATTGCAGCAGTAAACTAAAAAAATCCAGCGTCACGGAAAAATTCGAGATGACGTAGCAGTTAACTGAGTTAAGAGGTGAAACGAAAGTCAACTCTTTCGAAATTTCCAGAACAAAATGTGCAAATGATTCTAAAAGTGTTCGGAACATCAGTAACAATGAACCATCAATGTTTCTATCGTCCAGATGAGAGAGGACGTCTGGTATTTGTGAAATCACAAAAGAGAATAATCCACAAGCTTGTCAGCAGCATTGGTACATATTGTCCAATGGAGGAATTACGAAGTGTTATTGTGCATCTTCCTGTCCTTTCTCAACGACATAGGAGCTGGAAGAAGTAGAACCAGTCATTAGCACTTGATGCATTGGCAGATCCCACTCTAAGCTCACAGTCATGGGTGTTGTAGTTGTAGTTGAAGCCGATGCAGCTTCTGTTGTAACTGCAATGGGTGCTGCACTCAACTGCAGATGTGACATCAACTGGGACAACATTTCCGACGTATCTGGTTCCTACCAAGCGCTGAAGTTTGGTGTTGAAACCTATGAAGACAGTTAAAAAAAGAGTTCAACAAATGCAATAAAAATGGTCTAATTCTTGATGACAAAGTTTCTACTGATTATGGGACTTTAGTTCCATTAAATGTAAGTGCTCCCCGGTAGTGTAACGTAGTAATCTCACTTCACGACGGCATTCATTTTCAAGTCTTGGAGTGAGTGAGTGAGTGGGGTTTAGTTTTACGCCGCACTCAGCAATATTCCAGCTATATGGCGGCGGTCTGTAAATAATCGAGACAGGACCAGACAATCCAGTGATGAACAGCAAGAGCATCGATCTGCGCACTTGGGAACCGATGACATGTGTCAACCAAGTCAGCGAGCCTGACAACCTGATCCCGTTAGTCGCCTCTTAGGACAAGCATGGGTTGCTGAAGATCAATATTCTAACCTGGACCTGTACGGGTCCAAGTCTTAGACAATCGGATGATATGCAGTTAACTCAATTTTACCAAGCTCGTTAGTTTGCTTCCTAGGACAAGCATATGCAGTTAGAGTTCATGCAAGTTTTGGTTTGCAAGAATAGCAAACATCTGATGGAAAATTGCTTCAAACTTTGAGATTAAATTCTCAAATGCTTGATGATAAATTCTCAAACGTTAGGTAACGTCGTTGTTCTTGAACGTTATCACATCTGGCTATGCTGCATCATGATCAGGGGAATAACAGATATAGGGAACACTCTAATGATTGTGAATATATAGGGTTTTAAATGCTGCGAGATACCGAGATAAGTCACAGTGGAAGGGCCTTTTGACACTTCACACCAGAAACCCAGAGGGGTATTGCAACCTCTACCTGTTTGAAGAGTTGTACAGCAGTATCTGACTCAAAACCATGTTATCCTGGTGAGCAAGATCCACTGACCAATCCCACTTGTTTGTGATGAAATATGCTAAACAATATTCGTGACCTCATCCAAATCCTTCGATCCCCGACCGCGTCATACCAAAAGACGTTAAAATATGGTACTTGTTGGTTCCTGCCTGGCGCTCGGCATTAATGGGTACAACAAGGACTGGTCCGCACGGAGTCAGTAATATGTGTCTGAGTGGGGTATTCATGCTTCACTGCGGCATCGTATCTCAGTGGGCTAGCACTATAAAACCAGCTTAAGTCTGGGCTAGTACAAGCAGCCGCACATACACATACACACGCATGCACGTCGTCATATGAGCGAAATATTCTCAGCACGACGTAAAACCCAATTTCACCTCACCTCACCTCATCCAAATCCAGACTCAACAGTGTAGGACCTCCTGCTTATACAGATCAGCAAGGAATGGTCCCTGGGTCTTTCTTTGACATTGAGTGATTTCATTGACGAGATAAAATGAACACACAAGATGGATACACTCCCTACTGAGTGAAGGGTCGAAGATTACAACAAAACTGAAATATGCTAAAACGGGCCAAATAAAAATAGCACCTGTTGGACAACATCTGAAGTGCACTTCTAAAAAGACAATCGGTGAACGATGGAATCATCACCAGTTGATCATGCTTTCGAAAACCCGGGACTCGGAAACAAGACTCATTCCAAACCAAATAATCCTTATAAGTATGGGAAGCGTTTTATACTTACACCATGTTTGTGTTCTCTCATACACTTCAACTTCACACAGTGTTAGTAGGTCTTTCTCCGACTTTCTGTCCAGACCCCGGACTCTGACATAACGCCCTTGGGCAGCACAAGAACATGATATATTTTCTGTTGCACCACCAGCCATTGGTCCATCATACATGGCACACAGGTGTGAGGGAGTCAGTGGGTTCTGGACGGGGTCATCTGTGAAGACTTCAATCTTTAAGTTATGCATTCGTCCACCTGAAAGATGCAGGGGTGTTACTAATGATACCGAATATATTTACCTGTTTTAATGGATTGCCAAAAATCAGTTCTTTATTCAGGCCTTGAGTTACATGCTGTATTCACCAAACTAAGCAAATATCTGAACTAACTATAAAATAGGCTGTAGATCGCCAACAACTGAAGGTAGATCACCACACTAGGGACGCCAAATATATGAACGTCTGAGTTTTAAACTATTTTATATCATGAGGAATGCATTACCCAAGTACGTGTGACTTATTGGTTAAAGGGACAGACAAACGCCAAGTGTATCGCTGAATAACACTGGTTATTCAATAAGAGAGGTTACATGAGTGTACATATGTATTAGATGCTTGATTGGTATTTTAGAAGATTGTATTTGATGAACATAAAGAATTTTCTGGATTTCATCTTCTTCTATCCTTTTATACAACGTTCCGGGGCCTGTTCTGGCCTCATCATCAGGTAAAACTAATAAACAGTTAACTGTGCCCATGACGTCACAATGCTATGACGACGCAATACACGTGAAGGTCATAATGGATACAGCTAACAGGGCTAATAGGAATTCATGTTACTATGAATAAAAAAAATATCGTTTGCTACAAAAGTATTGGATTAATTTAGAAATGTACAAATACCTATTATACAAAATTATTTGATTAATTTAGAAATGTGAGATACATATTTATACATGTATGGAATGTAAAGTAATTACAGTGTATACATAGAAATTATGGTTTATACATGGGTACAGTATTTTTCATGAAACAGTGACAAAGGTAGAATATTGTCTATTGTTTCATGAACCATGCATATGCATTCGGGAGAAACACACCCTGATCCCTGTTTATTGCTGGTTTTGTAAGTTTGATGAAGATAGCTTCAATCAATTTCCGTCATTCATTAATGTTTGCGAGGACTTCAGTTTACCAGTCAATTTCATGATCAGGATTATTCACAATGTGTTGAGAAACTGCAGATTTCAGATCCGATTTGTCGACTGAAGGTTTGTGTTCTTTCACTCGTGTAGCAACTGGTCTGCCTGTCTCACCAATGTAGATGTCACCACCGTCACATTCCTTATCATTTGCATATAACAACGTTTTTAAGGGTTTTGCCAGACGAAAAAGCTCTGTCAGTGCTGGCCATAAACTTTGTAACTGCCCTGTGGCGAATGGAAAATGTGTATATCGTGTAGCTTCACATTGAACATTTCTATCAATTATATATCTATATCCATCAAAGAGCGTGAAGTGTCCTTACCACAACAGTCTCCTCTGTTAGTTATTGTAAGGTATTCCAGTACGAAGTCGCTTTGAAGGTCAACCATCCAGTAGGGCTGCATGTCCCCATCTTGGCTCTGGAAGCACGAGTGGTTTAAAAAAGTTGAGTCTCTGTTGCCGTCTATTGCTCTGCCTTTCAGGTGTGCGGAAGTCGAAGAACTAGTTGGCTTGTTCAAGGCTAGATTATTGACGATACCTGAGAAAAGAAACAGTTTTACAAATGGGACTGGGCCGCCGAAGTCCTGAAAACGATTGGCTATACCAGTGCGTTTCATGGGGAAGTGCCAGCTTGATATGAACCCTATTGATCTTCTAGATTGGATCCGAAGCGATTTACGCTGGTCGTAAGACTGAAGGGTGAGGTGGTCAGGGGCGGTGATTTGTCTGATTACGAGTCATCGTAACCAAACGGTGGAGATCGTAACTTAACAATGTCAATCACAGCATTATAATAGTCCAAACGTGATCATTTGCGGGGCTACTTGTCATTGTACCTTACAGGGGAGGTTAGGAATTCGTAGACCAACAGTAACATATTAGATCTGACAGACATCGGAATTCAACTTAATTACCGCGTACAACTGTAAAGTACGTTGCAACATAAACAGAGTTAGGATTTCATAACTGGTAAACAGTAATGTCACTGACAGATTTCCTTTGTGAACATTGATAACTAACACTGGACTGCTCCGTGTGATATAATAGAATATGTCACCACACTTTGGACTTCTTGGCACTTCTAGCAAAAACGTACAGAATTGCATCTAGACTTGTGGGAGAGTTGCGCCTTGAGGTTGCACCTCTTTTGAGCTCTGAGGAAAATACCAGCTTTAACGCGTACAAGCAACAATAGAGCTCTTGAAAGTGGATTTACACAAGCATGAGATGCCCAGGAACATTTCTGTGAATTCAGATTTTGCAAAACTGGTGTAATTTTGTGGTAAGTGTAACATTGTGAACCAGAATATCATGAAAATACAAACTGAAGACAACCATTACCAATCAGCGGACAAGCTGGCTGATTACTGAGCGAGCTGAGGTGTGAAGCAGGCTATTGTTAGACAATTAGAGCATGTCAGAATACCCTGGCCTAGCCCGGCCTACCATGTAATTGATACAGAGATGGCCTACTTATTACTAAGATGTATTTGGATTTTCCTAATATCACTATTGACATTAACCCCTGCTTTTCTGCTGTCTGTGAATGATGAAGGACCTCATAGAATGCGTCTGAAAACACTCAATGAACTGCGGCAATTAGGCATATGCAGTGTCAAGAGAACGCGTCGTGGATGTAGGAGCAGTACCTCCAAAAACATCCTGCGGAATAAAGGAATTAGTCCCATCAAAACAGGAAATAATTCAACATTTAAACAACACAACACCCGCCTTGGTCTGGTCAACGCAAGATCTGCAAAGTCATGTGATCCAACAAATGATAAGGCCCAGGCAATCAATGACCTTATCATAAATAACCAGTTCGATATTCTAGCAGTCACAGAGACATGGTTTAGAAATAATGATGTAGCAAAAATGACCCCAAAGTGGTTAGAAATTCACCCAAGTTGCCAGACAATATGCAAAGGGAGGAGGAATAGCTGTGGTGTATAATGACAGAATAAATGGTAAACCACTGAAGATTCAACACGCACATACAACATTCGAAATGCTGTCGATGAGAGAACCACGGTCAAGCATGTCCTGCTTGACTGTGTTGAATTCTCCATCATAAGGGATAAATACTTCAATGTGAAAACAGTCAAGGATCTTTTTAACACTGTTAATTTTCATTTAATTACTGGCTTTTTAAAAGAAATTGACTTAATGAATGAATTTTGAATAATATGTTCTGTACATATCTGTATTTTAATTATTGGTAGATTTGATTAGTAACTTAGATTGTTAGTGGCTGTACCCTCAAAGGGGGTTGAAGTATCGTAATATTATTGTCCTCCTGAGAGGGTACGTAAGTCCCAAAACATTTCAAGTAAATTTAAGTATACCAGGTGTTTTAATCGTAGTATTTTTGTCATTTTAATGTATGGCTAATTCTCTGTATAAACGCCAATGGCTAAAGGGATGGTGTAAATCCAGCTAGGGTCCATGCAGGTAGCAAAGGTACTGTAAGTCCCCATGGTCCCTAGTATGGTGATCTACCTTCAGTTGTTGGCGATCTATAGCCCAATTTTACATTGTATTGTCCAGAAATAATTTTCTACTTTTAAAGATATATGTTAGCTAGTTTTAACTCAATCTGTGATAATCTTGTGGTTTTACTGTCCTTCGTTGAAAGGGTTTTATATATTATATGTATGTATTACAAATTTAGAACTAGTTTTAGTCACGATATGGCTGAAATATTGCTGATGTGTCTTTAAATCTTAACTCACTCACTCACTGGAAATGCTGTCCATACAGTTTGTATCATATGGAAATCGTCTAAATTATACAGACCTCCAAGGAATGTGAATGGTTTCTTTGATGAGTTCGCAAACCCCTTGGACAGTTTGACAACACTTCCTGGTCAAATAATTATCGTCGGAGATTTTAACTATCACGTGGATGTTGTGAATGACAAGGATGCAGCTACACTTCACAGCATACTGGAAGCTCATGGACTTGTTCAGCATGTCAAACAGTCAATTCCTGTTAAAGGACATACTCTGGACCTCATCATTGCCTGTCCTGCAGAACCGTCAATATGTCACATGAAATTTGATGACTCCATCAAGTCTGATCACACAGCTATCCTTTGCCCTGCAAATGTAAAAGTAACTGCACGAGAACGGAAAGAAATTCACTACAGGAATTGGAAGAATATCAATAGGGAATCTTTCCAGCAAGATCTGTCAGCAGCAATACAGACAAAGGATCCATCTTCCCTATCTTCAACAGTGTTCTGACAAATGTGGTAGACGCCAATGCACCACTGCAGAAATGTACCATCACAGTCCATCCAGGTGCACCATGGTACACTAACGAGCTTCGCAAAGAAAAACGAAAGCGTCGACAACTTGAAAGGCAATATCGCAGAACACATTTGTCAATACATAGGGATCTTCACAACATCCAAAGAAATTATGTGAACACCCTAGCTGAAAAGGGAAAGTGTGCATATTTCAGTGAAGCACTGACGTCAGCATCAGGTCATAAGGAGATATTTGAAATTTCAAACCAACTCTGGTTCAAGAAAAAGACAGCTGTCTTTCCATCTTTCACGTCAAGAGAAAACCTTGCAACGAGTTAAATTCGGAGCTCCTTTATCAAGAAAGTTGACTTATCTGACTCTTGTTACGAGTCTAGTCCACACCCACTCACAGTGTTCCAGACAGCAACTGAAGCGGAAATAGTATCACTGATCAAAAGCAGCCCTAATAAATCCTGCAGTTGGATCAACTACCAACGTGGCTTCTTAAGATGTCCATGGACAGTGTTCTTCCTCTCATTACCTTCATTGTCAATGAATCTCTAACAACATCATGCTTTCCACAGTCTGAAAAAAGCTATCATAAAACCGCTCCTGAAAAAGCCAACTCTGGACCCCGAGGTGTTAAAGAACTATGGTCCCGTATCAAATCTTCCATACATCTCAAAGTTGATTGAACGTGTCGTGGCTTCCCGTTTGCAAGACCATATGTTGGAAAATGGATGTTACGAGGTCTACCAATCGGCCTTTCGGACCCACCACAGCACAGAGACTGCCCTGACAAGAGTACAGAGTGACCTCCTGAAAGCAGTTGACAAAGACGGAGCAGCCATCTTAGGGCTATTAGACTTATCAGCAGCATTCGATACTGTAGATTATAATGTGCTTCTCAATGTGCTGGATAACCGGATCGGTGTCCAGGGTTTGGCTTTGGAATGGATCCGAACGTACTTGTCCAATAGATCACAGGTTGTAAGCATCGGTGGTGTAAACTCACAGAAGAAATTTCTACTTTATGGTGTTCCACAGGGGTCTGTTCTTGGGCCGATCCTGTTCACTATATACATGCTACCAACTGGTGACATCGCCAGAGCACACAACCTCGATTTTCACTTCTACGCAGATGACAGTCAAATCTATCTGGCTTTCAAACCACTAACAGTAACAATCTCTTATCAGCGAATCGAACACTGTATAGACGACATCAAGCACTGGATGACATCAAACTTTCTAAAATTGAACGATGATAAAACAGAGTTGTTGGTCATCTGCCCTAAGCAAACCATGACAAGGATCCATCTGCCACAGTTCAAAATTGGCACAATACCCAGAAGTCCACATGCCAGGAATCTGGGGGTTATCTTTGACTCGTCACTCAGTCTGGAGACCCATATCAACTATGTTTGCAAGAGGTCATACCACCACATTAGAAACATTGGTCTGATAAGGAGGTACCTTGATGTGGATACCACACGAGCTCTAGTCATAGCCTACGTTACATCCAGGATAGACTATTGTAACTCGCTGCTATATTGCCTTCCAGAACAACTTATAAATAGGCTCCAAAAAGCACAAAATACAGCTGCAAGAATCATCACTAGAACAGCAAAGTGGGATCACATCAGACCAGTGCTTCAAGACCTTCATTGGCTTCCTGTCCACCACAGAATCCAATACAAGATCCTCGTTCTTGTATTTAAATGTCTAAAGGGTCTTGCTCCATCATATCTGTCCAGCATGATAGAAACCTATCAACCGGTCCGTCAGTTAAGATAAGCTGAACAAAATCTACTTGCTGTGCCACGGACTAGGACAAAGATGTTTGGAGATAGATCTTTCGGTAAAGCAGGTCCAGTTCTCTGGAACAGATTACCTCTTCACCTAACATCAGAAGAACAGCTATCCACTTTCAAGGCCCAGCCAAAGACTCACTTATACAGAGAAGCATTCAATCTTGTTGCTTGAAGTGTTTTCCTGGAACTTATGCGCTTTCGAGCAGCTTCTGCTGGATTCTAGCGCTCTATAAATGTTTATATATAGATACTACATATATATATATATATATCAAATGAGTTCGTGAATAGTAATACCAGATGCGTGGTAAACGCCGAAGACCTGTCTGTATCTCTTTTAGCAACATTCAAGCAATAGTACGACGGGGCACACACCAGAATGGTCTTCACACATTGTACCCATGTGGGGGAGAATCGAACCCGGGTCTTCGGCGTGACGAGCAAATGCTTTAACCACTAGGCTACCCCACCGTCCCATACCTGTTTTGAATCACGTTTAAACAAGTATTAGACTTATTCCAAAATAATTTTCTGCCATGGTAATACAGCACTGGTTTGTTTCCTCCTAGAAAGTAATATATTGTAAAATAACATGACACTAATAAATGTGAACCAAAGACGCCTGGGCAATACGACTCAATATGATATATTGTCAATGAACATCTTACACAAAAAGGGACCCTTTCCAGATAAATGTTGGCAATAGACATAACGCTTATGGTCTTTACCCGACCATGAATTGAGATTAAATAATGTCATGGAACACAGGCTGGTCATGGACATGGAAGACATGGACATCGACCATAGACAGGACGTGTCCTAGTAAGATATAGAAATATATGATCACAAGCGTCTAAAGATTATACAATAAACAAAAATTTCACAAAGAATGTCCCTTTATATCTACTTACATGTTACAACTGTTCCAAGTGTGAGAAGCAGGACCGCCTTCAGCAGCAACATCCTTTCTCCACGACAACACAACTTCAATTAAGTTCGGCATGCATACGTTTAGGTAACATGAAGAATATGACGTTAGACTATGTTAATGGTGTAGGTGAACAAATCGATATCCTTCGGCGTTCTCAAAGACAATTAAATGATCTTATTAGCTTAACATGCCTACTTTTATTGCTTGTATCCATTGATTATTTCTTAATAAAACATGATTCTATTCTTTACTACACACTGTAACACTAAATGTGTTTCAGTACACGGATATACAAAAAACAACAATATGTTCCCAACGTTGATGTTGGGGAAGGGGGGAAGGGGGAGACACTCCTGGAGTTGCGCCCCTTGCCCGATTGGAGCGCCGCGGTGGTGTTACTGATACTGACTGACTGTCCAACAGCACCAATATCTCTCTGATACTGGAGTATAGGCCTAAACTTAAGCCTACATCTTCTGTAATTCTTATATTACGAATTACGGATGCTGGACGTTGCCCTAATTGAAGACTATGCTCAAATCACGAAGAACTAGGGTGTATGGACGAAAAATAATGCTCATAGAACGGTAGTTGTAATAGACTCTTGTTTCTCGAAATTTCTTACTGAGCAGTTGCTTTTTTAAAATCGTCAAACCAATTACTCTCCATTATGTCACATTACAGAGTGCGGGGTGTTTATGGATTAAAATCAGTGGACCATATTAATCCTTAGAACAGTGGGGATAAGGCTATAATCTGTATCAGAAATGCGCGTATGCCAGCAAATAAAGAGAAACGTTAGAGTTTATCACATTTTGTTTATTGCATATAACATCCGCAAATACAATAAATACACGAATATGAATCACTTGACAAATATGGTGACATTTTCAATTTTATGAAAAATACATGTAACACCAACAAATACACAATATTGCATATAACATCAACAAATACACGAATATGAATTATTTTACAAATCTGGTGAAAATTTAAATTTTATTGCCAATGTCCTGTGTGTTCTAACAAGGTTGTTGGCAGTGTTTATGGTTGCAGGACAACCTTTCTTACAGCATCTCCAGTGGACATTTTGATTTCTTCTTGATTTCTCTCTTAACTTATAACCATTGAATACTTAACTCTGGCCACCCCAGGAATTGGGAACAAATTGAACACGTGCGTCTTCCATTGTAGAATGACTTGTCGTAAACTAAATTACGGTTTTATAACCCTCATACCTCATGCAATATTCGATTACTTTTTATGAACTCCACCTACTCGAACAAACTATAATTGTGCCAACACTGGACTGTTAATCCTAATCCTCTTATAGCCAATAAAAGTGCTGGCAAAAAGAGAATACAAGAAGAGTATTTGTGTCGTAACAGTTGACAGAAGAAAGGTTTAGTTCACACTGCCAATAGCGTTCATCAAATAACGTTAGCATTGACCTGATTACGCGAACAATATAAGTGCTTCAGTTTTCGTTCACGTACTTCACAACCTATCCTCATAGCTACTGACGCTTCGGGATGCAATGGAAAGGGAAGATGCTATCGCCAAGGATCGTTTTCGAAAGGATTTGAAACACATTATTTTTTTTGAATAACAGAGTATTCACCAACATTAATTATTACACCCATTTAAACTGTGGCATTACTTCCGGTTTTTAGTTTCTACGCATAAAGGCCATTATTTATTACACATAGTCTCGTATTGTAATTTTATGAAGACATTATCTTGGAACCGGTGTTAGACAGCATCATATTTTGTACAGTAAATTGTCATTTTGCTTACACATTTGATTTCAAGAATGCAACATTTATGTGACAAGTTGATTGGCTGGTTTGTTGTTTAACGCCGCACTCACCAATATTCCAGCCATACAATGTGAATTGTGTTGAGGAACAGCAAGCCTGCAGAGTTCATGGCTTGGATGAAGTCGACTTGCCTGGAGTGAGTGAGTGAGTTAAAATTATAAGTCACTTCGGCAGTTTTTTAGCCATATCCTGACTAAAACAATAAAACTTCACCATAAATATATGTAAATTATAAAAAAGCCTGTCAACGAAGGACATTAAAACAACTAGAGTATCACAGTTATGAATGTAAATCTAGTGTGTAAATCGAAAATATTGTATCTACAAAAGACAATAGAATATAAAAACAGGCTATAAGAATTGCTAAACAGTTGAAGGTAGATCACCATACTAGGGACCATGGGGACTTAAAGTTCATTTGCGACTAGCCTGGAAAGTGAAATAGGACTAAAGTACCAAGTTGTCCGATTCCCTACTGTTCTCAGTGCCTTAGGTTTAGTCACTTTGTGTGATACTGAGAGAATGCCTGGGTCTGCTTCAAGGAACACAACAGAAGGCTGTTGGAGAGTCTATACATTCCCCGAAATGTTCTTCCCAACACAAGAGACGCATATTTCAGTGTGAAAACATCTTTTTAACAAAGTTTATCCACATCTAGTTATTGGTTTTGAAAGGGCATTGATTGAACTGATAAATTTTGAATTTCTATTGTAATTAATAACTGAATTTTAATTTGTTAGAATGAACTTATAACTTTGACTGGAGTGGCAATACCTTCAAAGGGGGTTGAAGTAGCGTAAAAGTATTGTCCCCCTGAGAGTATATTTATGTCCCATCTCTTTCAAGGTAGTTTTCATACTACATGGTTTTAATCCCAGAATATCTGTACTTTTATTGCTTGGCTAAATTGGAGTATAATCGCCAACGGATGAAGGAATGGTGTAAATCTAGAGCAAAAGTACTGTAAGTCCCCATGGTCCCTAGAGTGGTGATCTTCCTTCAGTTGCTGGTGATCATTAGCCCATTTTTATCTTAATTATGTGATACTATCGTAGTTTTACTGTCCATCGTCGACAGGTTTTAATCTTGAAAATGCACTCAACTTTAATTTATAAATTGTCCTCGTCAGGATATGACTGAGATATTGCCGATGTGACGCTAAATATTACCTCACCCACTCACTCACTCTTAGTCGATTTCGACTTGGCAACGATTCCTCGGTGAAGTTCCATTTGCTGTAGAGGTAATTGTGACATGACCATACAACACTTTGTTGTTATATGTATTTATTCTGTATATTATTGTGACAATAAACTCTACATTTATATGACGCTAGAGTCAAATTAAAGACTGCTCAGAAGTGCTTGAGAAAACTCTGGAGCATGCTACACATATCATTCATTCTATGAACTGTTAGACAGGATTTTCTTGGAAGCTGACGGATGACAATGTTCACACACTTTGCTGGTAACGAAGCAATTACTGTCAGGCAAGCAATAAGAGTCTTCCTTGATAGTGGTCTAAGGATCCTGAACAATACGTCGCTTCTGATACGCTTGTTTGAATATATCAATAATTCAATGAATGGATGTGTCTTAATAAGCTCCTAATAATCGAATAGTGCTATATCTTATACAGCTAGTATTGTTCAAAGGGAGTTGTCAGGTCTTACTCAAGACAACGTCTTGAGGGATGAGTTCCTAAACGAGGTTACATCTAAGACAGATTCAAAGATCACCTGGGGTTTTCCTCCAACGCTAACCCGAATCAGCTTTGGTGGGGTATGTTCTACTAGTGTGAGAGGAAAACTGATAGTGATCCAGGTGTTGCTTTTACACATTAACAGTGACGCCCCTTCGAGTGTCCTGTAAGAGGAAATACCCGGTGTTTGTTGAAAGGGGCGATTGATTCTCCGTTTTCAAAGATGGTTAAGCGGTTAATTTCAGGATGGAAAGACTAGTATGATCATACGTTTCGATGTCAAAGAACCGTTCCTTTTTTTTCATATTTTACCCTTAAAGATCCGGGTTAGGTTTGATCTTGATGTCATCGGTTCCCAAAAGCACATGAGTGAGTGAGTTGGGTTTTACGGTCGCTTTTAGCAATATTCCAGCAATATCACGGCGGTGTACACCAGAAATGGGCTTCACACAATATACCCATGCGAGGAATCGAACGCGGGCTTTCGGCGTGACGAGCAAACGCTTTAACCGCTTGGCTACTCCACCGTTCCCAACACTTGGGAGAAGAGCTTGGAAACGGGGAACAGACAATATATTGGTTAGATCGAATAGTCTTGGGAACATTCGCCAATGCTGAAGGAAACACGAAGTTCAGTCATACCAAGCCTACCTTTGAGGTAGTAGTATGTTCAGAGTTAGGCGATACAGTCTCCAGCCCACCATTTCAGAGCAACAAACATATTCCTGTACGTATACTCTTGGTGTATATGTACACCAAATTAAACCCACAATCTGCAGTCCACGAACCATTCTTGACCAGCAAACACGTTTCTCTAGGAATATTCAAGTGTGTATGTTGCGTTTACAGATTCCAAGTACTCTTCATGTGCCTGTCAAGATCACAATTAGTACAAGGTATGCGTTGTATGTTTAAGGGGTGTTTGTCTGTGTTGTAGGTCTGTGGTTCGAGAGACCATTGTATGTGTCTAGGACGTGAGCTTGGGGTCCATCGAGTCGGGTAATATAACAACTTGTTTAAAAGGTAAGAGTTTGCAACCAGTTTGAAAATATATGTACGTGTCAGGTTTGCTGTTTCTCCTGTATCTTCGACGAGTTGTCGGGGTAGGTATTATATCCCGTGAGTAAGGCAGTACCGAACCGATCTGGAGAGGTCGAATCAGATATGGCGCCCAAAGATTTGCGATGTGTGGTATCTCAGGTGTCTGGTAATGTGCCCATGTAGGGCAGCAACGGACAGATCAATACGGTTCGAACCCAACTTTGTGAAGCAGTGTAACAGGGTCAGAAACCTAAATGCAGGAGAACTCATAGCCTTCCACTAGAGAACTGAAATACCCAGATGCGGTAACAACAACACACTCCATGATTAGTTTCATTATACCAGCAGTGACAATAATTTCTGCAATTTATTTGCATGTGATTGTTTGTGCAGCAAGGTACACGTTTTGCTTCATTGACTTAACACATGGTCTTCAGCCATGTTCTGTAGCCAAGCACTGCCCTCATGCTTAAATTATAATACTCACACTTTGCTAAGGATCCACAAAATGCACAACTTTACTTAAACGTAGATTTATAATTTGAAACTTTATCCTTTTAAAACTGGATAAATAATAATATGGTAACTCTCTTTACGAAAACGGTTACTTTACGCTAACCTTATGCACTTGATACATGAGTAACCATAAAAATGGTTTTCATGACACCAATCATGTCGGTCCACAAGATGAATTGACAAACTGACTGACTGACTGAGTTTGGTTTTACGCCGCTTTTAGCAATATTCCAGCAACATCACGGCGGGGGACACCAGAAATGGGCTTCACACATTGTACCCATGTGGGGATTCGAACCCGGGTCTTCGGCGTGACGAGCCAACGCTTTAACCACTAGGCTACCCCACCGCCCCTTTACACACTGAAACCTAGGATCCATGCTTACTATAATCTTAGATATTTAAACCAAATTTGACATAATAGTTTTCTGTTGAATCCATGATTTGATCCTTACCAAAGTGTGAATAGAATATATCATATACATAATATTCTGCGTGAATTCTAATGGAGGAGGTTTACTCTTTTCAGCCTATCTACCATCTTTGACACTCTTTGACCAACAGCCCAGTGGCTGTACATACATAAACCACGCCCGGCTACATTTGCATTGATTTTTGAATATTCCCTACGGTGTGTGCAACATAATTGTATAAACTGTTTTAGAGGGCTGACATTTGTAATGTGATGATATTAAGGGTGTTTATGTGAGTGTATGTGAATGGTGGGGTATTATGTGTGTGATTGGGTGAATAATGAGTGAGAGAATGCGTAATGAGTGATTGTGAGAATGAGTTTGCGAGTGATGGCATCTATGAATCATTTTAGGCATACATTATATTTACTTTCAATATGGGGTTTGTGATTGCTTTACTATGTAAAATGATTGGTGGCAGTGGTATGATGTAATGTTTTTTGTTTTGTTTTGTTTGTTTGTTTGGGAACTACAACAATATGAGTCTGAATAGGTAATTGCATTGGACATCATTTTTGTCACTAATGCATCAAATTTGGAAATTCCATCAACGTGTCTACCATAAAACTTCTTGAAAGCTTTACTGAGGCCTAGAATGTTGAAAGGAAAACGACTGTATGGTTTCAGTACGTGGCCGAAAATAAACTGCATGTTCAAAAGTTCATGTTGATTTTGGAATATTGCTGGGAACTCAGTGTTTTTTGTTTATTTATTTTATCACCCAGGTTAGTTCATGGACTGTGTGTCTATATATGGTATGGTCTGTTAAGACTGACTGACTGACTGAGTTTGGTTTTACACAGCTTTTAGCAATATTCCAGCAAAATCACGGCGGGGGACACTAGAAATGGGCTTCACACATTGTACCCATGTGGGAATTCGAACCCGGGTCTTCGGCGTGACGAGCCAACGCTTTAACCATTAGGCTACCCCACCGCCCGGTGTGTTAAGAACTCTTACTTTGATTTTGTTAATATTTAGACTGACTGACTGAGTTTGGTTTTACGCCGCTTTTAGCAATATTCCAGCTACACCACGGCGGGGGACACCAGAAATGGCGTGACGAGTCAACGCTTTAACCACTAGGCTATCCCACCGCCCGTTAATATTTACAAGTTCTTTTCAATGTGGTTTAAATTTTGCGAATTGTCAACAATATATAACCAACTTACTCATTATATACTGTCGTCGAATTGTGTACTGTTATTCGTACTGCAGTATTATGTAATAAAGTTATAATGATCTGAAAATCTAGATAATTTCACAATGTACTTGGTTGGTTTCACACTGAATTCTTCTGCGTGTAGATTTCTACTCAAATTTCCAGACAAAGTTATTGTTTCAATTTTTGAATAGACACATCACAGCATATATTGTTCAGAGTGGCAAAGCATCTAAAGCCAAGGGTGCATGGCAGGAGGGGGGGACAGCCTTCAACTCTCAAAACTTAACTTCAACTATATGTCGAACACTAATTCCAGCTGATCCTGTCATTATTTACTCTCTTCGTTTTAAACATGAAACAGGTTTAAACAAAGATTTTATTGCAAAACTAAGTTCTGAATCACAAATAGTACAGTTATTGGAGACAAGTTACTGTTTCAAAGAATTTCTCCAGAGAAACAGTACCAATAAACTACCACATGCTTTGATGATAGTGAGTGAGTTTAGCTTTACACTGCTTTTAGCAATATTCGTGCGATATCACGCCAGGAAACACCACGCACATTGTACCCATGTGGGGAATCGAGCCCTGGTCTTAGAGTCATGACGAGCGAAGACTTTAAACACTAGCCCCTCATGGGTGGCAGGGCCTGACAGATTTGAAAGGTGGAAGAAAACAATCCCAGTTTTCAAGAAGTTTGCAAGAAGCATGGCTGCGTTGTTATATGAAATACGATGGACGATGCATCAGAGACGATATTGTGATCCAGTCTTCTCGTATTCTGGAACACACCAGTGTGTTTCTCACAGACATAAGTTTTGGAAGAAATAGAACCAGTCATTATCACTTGTTGCATCGGCAGATCCCAGCCTAAGCTCACAGCCTTGCGTGTTGTAGTTGTAGTTGAAGCCGACGCAGGTTATGTTGTAACTGCAGTAGGTGCTGCATTCAGCTGCAGATACGACATCAACTGGGACAACATCACCGACGTACCTGGTTCCCTCCAAACGGTGACGATCGGTGCTGAAACCTATGAAGACGGTTAAAGATATAGAGGACGAATCCTGAGCAAAACATAATATATCAGGGTTATAGTTCCGCAAGTATCTGCGTTTAATGTGTAGATGATTTGAATCAATTTACGTCTCACTCAACTATTATATAGCTGAATGACGTCATTCTGTAAATTGTTAAATCTGTGTAAGATGTGTCTGTTTGCACTCGGCAAAATTCCAGCTTTATGGTGGATGTCAGTAAATAATTGAGTCAGGACCAGATAACCAAGTGATCAACAGCATGAGCATCGACCTACGAAATTGTGATGCGATGGCATGTGTTCACCAAGTCAGCGCGCCTATCCACCCGATCCAGTTAGTCGCCTTTTATGACAAGCATGGGTAGCTGTACACCAATGATAACCCCGATCATAGTATCTGCATAGGACAATCTGATGAGACTCCATCAATCTGGCTCCCTTCACTTGCCACATTGCCAACAAGAAGTACAAACAATGGAAACAGTTTTTTTTCACATACAAAGCATTATATCAACTTTGGGATCAGAACAATTGGAAGCAGCAAAAAACAAAACAAAACAACCTCCCCCCAAATGTTTGAGGTTCTCTGCAGAAGGCTAGGTATCAAATCTCATATCAATTCCATCTCCCAAAAACCTTAAAAGCTGAACTTCAATACATGTTATCATTTGTGGGGACAAGTTTCAGTTTCGTTTTCTAAGAGGTTTCTTAAGGAGTTGTTGCCTGTTGCCACAGTTGGCAGCTTCCAAATACAACATTTCATTACTTCAGAACCTTTCGCTTCTGTCATCAGATGTTAACATGGAAAATGCTAACGTCATTCAATTTGTTGTGAGGGACACTTAACTAAAGAGATAGCGATTTCAAGAATGATTGAGGGACTTCGGGGACTTGGACAGCAGTAAAGAGTTCCGAGCTCCATGCCTTTGTTGCAGAATAGGAAAGGACTGTGGAGAAAATAATTCAATTTGAAAGTTGAGATACATAGAGCTTGTTGGCTGGTTTGGAACTTGAAAGAGGCTGGTACGTCCAACACATATGAACAAGCTGTTTCACAGAAGAATCTTACAATCTGTTGTAGGCACTGCTGGGAGCCAGAACAGGAGTTACGCGAGATAATGTATTGCATCCAGCGATAAGCCTGGGTGCAGTATTCGAAATGTGTTTGATTTAATGATTTGGGGGACTGGCAATTATCGAAACCCTGATATCCTGCAGTAAAGAGTTCTGACTTTCAAAACTTTGGTACAAAATATGAGTGACTGAGTGAGTATGGTTTTACGCCGCTTTTAGCAATATTCCAGCGATATCACGGCGGGGGACACCAGAAATGGGCTTCACATATTGTACCCATGTGGGGCATCGAACCCGGGTGGTCGGCGTGACGAGCCAACGCTTTAACCACTAGGCTACCCCACCGCCCCGGTACAAAGTAAGAAAGGATTGGGAAGATAAATAATTCAATTTCAAAGTTGAAACAATTAGAGGTTGTTGCTAGGTTTGGAATTTGAAAAAGGTTGCTACGCCAATAACGCCGATAGCCACAACATAATTTACTCAATATCCTGCAATCTATTGTAGCCACAGCTGGGAGCCAGTGCAGTACAGGAGTTACACGATAAGCGGATGCAGTATTCGAAATATGTTGTAGTTTCCTGAGGAACCTTACTTCATGTTAACCAGAAGGCTGTACCTTCATTCATCTGGAAGAGACTTAATCAACACCCCAGGTTCTGGGTAGTGCCCGGGATCAGTATTCAGCTGACTGATATTTTCTGAGCGGGTCGCAGGTCTCAATAATCAACTTCAATAGTGAGGATCTTATCAGCGTGTGAAAACTGAATGTGGCAATAAGATCGAGGAAACAGAGTCTATTTGGAATCAGTACTGAACAGCAGAAATTCAGTTCCACTGCCATTGATCGTCATCAGGGACATTGATTCTCTGATCAGGAAAGACTTGAGTCTTAAATTATCACCAACAAAGATGTATCGATCACACATGCACCCGTACACCTCACATTTGCAACAAAAAAGACAAAGGTTTGATTGATTGGCTTTCAGAGACGATCGAACATTACATAATCATGAAAAAACGCTAGCACAGAATCATACTTCATGTAATTTTCAGACTTCATCGTAAACGTTCATTTATGAATCAATATCCAGTGGAGATGATGCCAGGTATTTTGAAAGCATCAAGGAACTGCACTTTCTCATATAGCCCATATGCCACATCCTCATAGTCGCTTTTCCAGCTCATTCTATGAAGATTTCAAAGGACATCTTGAACCCTTGATTTTTTTTAAATTGTCTGACGGGGATTGTGGATTGTTTACAGTAGAAATGTGGAGAGAGTGTACAAAATAGACACATCAGAAGTATGTCTCTAGGAATTCCATGTTCTAATTGTGCTTTATACCTCCGTGTTTTAAAGAGAACACTTTTGAAGTGTTTGTGCCAGGTACCAAGTCCATTTGTGCAAACATCGGTCTAAGGCAGTTGATCTTTTATAGTTTGAAAGTTGTTTATAAACACAAGCTTATATTTTAATCAGAATCATATAAAGGATCATAGCAAGTGTGTTTTTCGATTTTATTAATATCAAGTTGAGAGTAAATTACTTACACCGTATTTGTTCTCGCTCAAACACTTCCACTTCACACAGTGTTAATAGATCATTATATGCCGTTCTGTCAAGACCCCGAATTCTGACATAACGCCCTTGGGCAGCACAAGAACATGATATATTTTCTGTTGCCCCAGCAGCCATTGGTCCATCATACGTGGCACATAGACGTGAGGGAGCTGAGGGGTCCAGTACGGGATCATCCGCGAAGACCTCAATCTTTAAGTCATGCATTCGTTCACCTGAAAGATGTGAGCATGTCTGACTAATAATACCGAATATATTTACCTCTTTGACTGGATTGCCAAAAATCACCTGGAAGATTCAACGATATTCTGAGTAACTATAACAATAGTTTTTCCTCTATTACTGTACTGCCCAAATTAGATTTTCAGGCCTTGAGTTACACATTGTTTAACTAAACTAACGAAAGAGTTGAACTGATTATTGTGAACACACCAAGTCCAAGATTTGAAATGGGTATTACAGTATATAGTTGATTGTGTTTGGTATCATGAACTCTATGCCATCATTGTAAAAAAATACAACTCCGGTCTTTAATTACCACATTATGTCGGGGATTAACTCAATCTTAATTGCTGACAACGTCACATTGGTGATATTTCAGCTATGTTTTTTACATATCAATTAGGAATACTTATCTTACCTCACACATACATGTGTTTTCTTATTGGCTGAGCGCTCACCTATTATTTTCAGTGTACCACGCTTACAAGCGAGTAGCATTTTCTATGTTACCCGCTTGGAATGCCGAACTGTGGGAATTCATTTGGCACTTCTTTATTTCGAATAATTGAGTCACGTATGAAGTACGGAAATTACCGATGTATTGCGAAAGCAAATCGATGGAAGGGTGATAACTCTAAACCCGGTATTGGCTAATTGCCATATTTTGATCCGATACCGGTACAACTTATAATGTGAACTATTAAACATGTCGTCCATAGACAGTAAAACAACTAAAGTATCAAAGAAGGTGACCTAAAACTAGCAGAGGCTGTGCCTTCAAAGGTGGTTGAAGTAAAATAAAATTGTTGTCCTCCTAAGAGGGAAGTAAGACTAAAACATTCGAAGTAAATTTAGTAGGATATTTTTGTTGTGACGTGATGGCGAAAGTTGAGCACAATCACCAACGTCTGAAGGGACGATGTAAATACAACCAGGATCAAAGCAGGTAGCAAACGTGACACATGGTCCCTAGTATGGTGATCTACCCTCACCTGCTTGCGATGTTTATGAATTGTATATTGTCCGAAAAGTGCTATTATCTTTACCTTAAATTCTAATTTTAAATCTAACTGTGATACTCTGGTTGTTTTACTGTCCCTTGACAGGTTTTATGTTATACAATTCTACCTTATAAATGTCAAATTTGTTCTCGTTACGATGTGGCTGAAATATTGCCTATGTGACGATAAATATCAACCCACTCAGTCACTCACTAAAACTAGCACTTATCATAAAAAGATATGATTGTGAGAGATTTCAAAACTTGGCTCAGCTCTGATTTTGGAATATTTTCAGCACAAATTTGAAATGCAATTTGTTTGGGTTATTTTTTAATTATATCTCAAAACTTTATCACAGAATGGGGTAGCATTTGCAAGAATGGAATCAGAACTTTGATGCAGTCTGAACATAAAGAAAGTGTTATATCTAGTACATATACCACAAATGCAAACCACACAGGTTTACTTTCTCACCGCAACAATCCACTCTGTTGGTGACAGTTATGTATTCCACAAAGAAGTGACTTTGAAGGTCAACCATCCAGTACGGCTCCATGTCGTGGTCTTGGCTCTCCCAACACGAATTTCTTGAAAAAACTGCTTCCCTGTTGCCATCTACTGCTCTGGCTTTGTTGTTTGTGAAGGTTGAAGACTTCGTGGGTTTCCCCAGGGCTAGGTTGTTGAGGGCACCTGGCAGATGTATAGAGAGAAACAGTTTTACAAAAGGGACCGCTTGGACATGTTTGCTATCTTGCTAAGTGAGAGTGAGTGAATTTAGTTTTATACTTTTAGCAATATTCCAGCAATATCGCTGCAGGGGACACAAGAAATGGGCTTCACACATTGTACCCATGACGGGAATCGAACCCGGTTACTCGGCGTGACGTGCGGACGCTTCAACCACTAGGTAAACCCACTGCCCCTATCTTGCAGAGAAAAGCAATGATTCCATCACATATGTTCTCTGAATATCATTGAATGATTGGTTGTTGTTTAACGCCACTTTCAGCAATATTCCAGCTATATGGCGGCGGTCTGTAAATAATCGAGTCTGGACCGGGCAATCCAGTGATCAACATCATGAGCATCGATCTACACAGTTGGGATACGATGCCATGTGTCAACCATGTCAGCGAGCCCGACCACCCGATCCCTTTAGTTGTCTCTTACGATAAGCATGGGTAACTGAAGACCAATTCTAAACCGGATCTTCACGGGTCCTATGAATCTCAGGCATCAAAGAACATTCACTGAATACAAGTTGAAAAGAAAACTACGTGTCCGCCAGACAAAGGAATGCCCCTTAACTATCACAGGAACTTCGCTGCTCGTTGTGCAATTATAAGTTAACTCCCATAGAAATAGGAGATTTGCATGAGGAACTGCAAATGAATGAGGATTTGCAACTTACTTATATACTAAACTAAATTAAATCATGTCACTTGTTGAAGTATATTCATCATTGGAATAAGTTTGGGCATTATCATGCAATGCGATGTGTATCTGATTGTTTTCATTAGGGGTGGGTATTGCAGAGAATTTTCATATTGCGATATATTGCGATGCGAAAGCATGTATTGCGATATGTATTGCAATATATTGCATGAAGTATTTTTAAACAAAAAACTACTTATAATCGAGTTAATGCTTGATTTATAGAGCAAAACACAGAAAAATCACTATGCTTGATAAGGCTTCAATAACAACTCTTCATCGTGATAAAATAGGAATGTGAATAATATTTGGCACAAATGAAACAAGGAAATATCCGAAGATTTCCGAATGTTACGAAGTTTTCCGAATGCAAGTCAAAATACCGGTTTTCGATCAGCGTATCGCAATACGTATCGTTTTCATGTCTGAACCGGTAAATACCGGTAAACCGGTTATATTGCGCAGCCCTAGTTTTCATACAGGTAACAATAAAATCAATGAAAAGTGGACTGCGGCATCATTTTATATATAAAATAATGCATGACATCCCATTACCCGACACTTCACATTGTTGAATTGTTAGAATGGAAGAAGTCAATAACGAGTGTGATCTCCTAGGGCTCATAGACAGCGGCGCCTGTCGGAACACTCAAACCGGAAGACGTATCGTATCCTTTGGTGTTTGTACAATTCTTACAGGGTCTATTGCTGAACAATGTTCTCTTGCACTCGTCTGTCCAGCTAATCCCCAGTGATAAGTCCCCATGGTCCCTAGTATGGTGATCTACCTTCAGGTGTTGGCAATCTAAAGCCTGTTATTATATCGTATTGTCTTGTATAGTTATAATGTTTTAGATTTAGATCCGAGTTTTAAATTTCTGTAAATTCTAGATGTTTTACTGTCCTTCCTCGACAGGTTTTTATAATTTACCTTTAATTTATATTAATCTATAACTTGATTTAGTCACGATATGGCTGAAATATTGCCAAAGTGACTTTAAATTTTAACTCACTCACTCATCCCCAGTGAGTTTGGTCGGCTTCAAGTCTGCGGAACGGGAAGCTCCATGACAACTTATGGAAGCAAACTGCATTGTGGGCCGTAGCGTTATCATGTTCATATGTCAGTTATAATATATAATTATAATGAAATGTCCTCTCACACATAGCCCTTGCAGCTTGGAAAGTAGGTTCCAAAGTGGGCTATTTCACAGGGTGGAAGCGCTTCAACTATCGTAAGTCATTGTTACAGTATAGTAAGTACGAATGCTTCGAGAAAAGTTACGAGATTTTAGGTTTACGAGCGCTTTGTGAAACGGATCCCAGGGCTTGTTTATTCCTGGGGTAGATGTATATTTGTTCTGATCGTACATGGGTTTTTTTAACATTAAACCCCTGTCGAGCAAACTGCAATATGGGTGTACAATCGTACTTGATCATACAAAATCGTAATAACTGATCGTAATGACTGTTAAAACTACATACTGTCAACTCCTGGACAGTAAAATCACAACGCAATGGACAGTTTGTTTCCTAAATGTGAGCACCTCATATAAAATGTACAGTTTGATTTTTTGACGATAACAGAAAAAACACGCATTAAAGCCTAAACTGTGAATGAAGACCTAAAACAACTATATATAAGAATTGACAGCAATAAAAGGCGTGCTGGGGTTGTCATATTTCGTGTTGAAACGATCATTTTCTGCGATCTTGTTTCAACACTCAGGAGGGTGCCCTCGCTTAACGCACAATTGCAATACATAGAGAGGGTGTTAAGCTATTACAGAAAGATCTGTAAATTTTTAGACTCCTCTGCCAAATAGCAAAAGCTGATATACTTGCAAAATAATGAAAATGCAAGGGAAAAGTTACCATTGATCTTGCGCTACATGTTCGTCCTTCACTGTCCAGCGAGGAAATGGAGTTGCCTGCCTTTGGGGCAACTCCACATTTCGCGTGGACAGGGCTTCCACCCTATGTATTTTATGTCTAGCATGTAGTTTCTCTTGTGATTTCATCTCTGGATGAGAGATTCACCTTCAATACATTGGTCTTTATTGTAAATGTGTTGATGACTTTAAGTCCTGGCTGCCACTGATGGTAGAAGGATATCAATCAAGTGTACATGTAAATACAGAATTAGTTTTCCCCCCCCTTTATTTACCAAGAAAAAATATATTAAGCATTAATTTCATGATATTATCCGACACTTTGTATAATCCGACATTTTTTCCCGGTCCCAGTGAGTGTCGGATTTTACAGGTTCCACTGTGTATACTATTGGAATAATGTATCTGTAAATGGTTTGATGTGATGCCTTTTTTTAATGTTACAAGATAATAACATGATGTTGTGTTTTCCTTAATCACTGTTTAACTGTTGACAGGATAACATCGATGATGTATGATTTGTATGATTTGGCACAAGGCACCGTGAAGAGATGTAGTGTCAAAAGTCAGTTCACTAATTCAGTATCGTGTGAGTACACCATTGGCGTTGATGCAGGCTTGACAACGACGACGCATAGACACTAAGCGATTAAATAAAGGTTGGGGAATGTTTTTCCATGTCTGAACCACCTTTTGTCCAAATTTAGCTAACGCCAATGGGTGATTCTGGGCTTGACGTAAACGTGTCTCCATTTCATCTCAAGCGTGCTCGATATAAGAAAGGTCCGGAGAAACAACACGCCCGGGGTGTGCCAGAATGTTCTGATGTCTCAGGAAATCTGTCAAAACACGAGTGATATATCGATGAGCACTGTTGCTGAAGCGTGAATAAGTTGTGTCTTATCATGAGATGTGATTTTCCCCCATAAAGCTAACGCCACCAAACTGTCGCCGTTGAACAACGCCCGCCGTTCACCGTCTGGCCACCCTTGCAATGCCATCTGAGTTCAGATAAAATCTCGACCCGTCAGCAAACAAAACACCAACCCAATATTATCTCATGTACCGTACCGTACCGTAAATGCTGTCTGCACCAGGTAAGACGTGCCTGTCGGTGACCTTGGAGCAAAATTGTCCAGAACGTTGTAGTCGGTTCCGTAAGTCCTCTAACTGATTGCACGTAAGCCAGGAATGGTCCGAGTAGTCAGGACTGGACTGGCAGTCTGGAATCGATTCCTTAGATGGGTAAGCCCAATGCCGGTCCGAGACAAATCTCTCCTGTTCCCGTTATGTTGAAAACGTCTCCATAGAGATGAGATTGTGTTGCGATGGATACCAAAATGGCTGGCCATTCATTTTGGGCCATTCCAGTCTCCTAGAATACCCACTGCGCAGTTTACGTTGAAAATAACGCGTTTTCCACAACATTCAGAGGCTTGGGAATAATCAGCCGTTCAACCGTCCGTCAATATCAGGTGTCAAACAGCATGCCAAAAGTGAATACGTACATTGTGTTCAATGTGCACATGCGCGATACGCGGCATCAAAGTACACGCAAAGTGCCTTGCTACATGTTTGTTTAGGGTTATTTTTATAACGTTTCAAATAAATTTTATTTTATTTTATGTTACTGTGTTATGCACAGTTACCGTGTTCTTTTAGTATATATGTATATATTAATTAACTCACTGTGTTTAAAATTGGTGTTATAGTTAATACCACTGTAATGTTGAAATGTGTATGTAACGAAAGTCCCTTCAGATATAACTGTATTTACAACGGAACTAGGTTTCTTCGCTTTGATTACGATAATGCAAATGCAACGTAAAAGTTTAACTCGTTCACTCAGAAGTGAGTGAGTGAGTTAACATTTAAAGTCACATCGGCAATATTTCAGCCATATCGTGACTAAAACTAGTTCTAAATTCATAATACATACATATAATATATAAAACCATGTCAACGAAGGACAGTAAAAACACTAGATTATCACAGATTGAGTTAAAACTAGCTAGCATATATCTCGTTCACTCAGAAGAATGTCAGGAGACAAAAAAACAGCATAAGAATACAAGGAGGCGAAGAGACAACATTAACAGGTTAGACCTGAAGGACATCAGAATTTGATGTATTAACGCAATGTTTACCAGTGCAGCGTTTTGCAAACAATCGAACTATCGATGATTTGCAGTTTTGCTGATAACTGCATACAAACATGCCAATGTCAGTAATGTACATGTATATCACCAAAACACTCCGTTGTCAGTGCATGTAGAAGGGCACAAATACTTCTTCAACTTCTTACACACAGCGCATACTCTTTGCTTTCTTTCGAATACACCTTGTTTGGATGTGAAATAGATTTATTCCCATCAACATAGGACATTATATAAGGTTAGATTGAAGGTCCCGTGTGCTTGAACATATTACACAAAGATCTTTTTCTCAGAGACCCTCGTGCATATTCTTTCCTTGACTGAACACAAAAAGAAGACATGATTTACATTAGGTTGTTGTTTAACTCGCGCTCAGCAATATTCCAGCTATATGTCGGCCGTCCGTAAATAATCGACTCTGGACCAGGCAATCCAGTGAACAACATCATGAGCATCGCTCTACACAAATGGGACCGATGACATGTGTCAACCAAGTCAGCGAGCCTAACCACCCGATCGCATTCGTCGCCTATTACTACAAGCATGGGTTACTGAAGACTAATTCTAACACGGATATTCACGGGTCAGAGAAGACATGACCCTGTGAGATATTTTACTGTAATGTAACTCGAATGAAATGTGATGCACCATCTTGGGTACAGATGTTCTATGATTAGACATCTAAGCGGGTACCTGTATTAGAGATATGGTTGGCTCGAGTTCCATATCAGAAGTAGACGTTAAATACATGCATCACTGTAGGGGTTTCCGACACCGTTTTAACAGAAACACAGTCACTTTTAGATAAACATGGGGTACTGCTACTTTTTAAAGGGGCGTCATTAACAACACATACAATTACATGTAGTATTTATCCAGGCCAACAAACCCGACCTTGTTTTGAACATTATTGTCCCTTTTGACATCAGTGGAATGACAAGGTTCAGGAACAACAAGGCAATATGCGGACCTGGTTCACGAAATATAACGCTTGCATTCCAAGTACCGAGTCGCCCATCTTTCCCCCATCTCAATGGGGATGTTTACACCTCCCAATCTGCTGAATAATGTTAGGAGATTTTCTCACAGGAACACAACCTTTCTGACACTCTGGGTAATGGAGAAGGCTGCAGTGTTTGGGAATCTTCACATATCCGAAAAGTTCTTGGTGGGTTTGAGTAGGCAGGAGTTCCTGGGAGAAGTCCTATTTTCAGTCTGGGTTTTGTGTGATTATATGCCTTACCAGCCTGGCCGTGTCAGGATCACCTGAACCCCTATATGGCATAAGAATCCAATCGTTGAAACGCATTGTTAATGTTCTTCAGGTGATTACTGTCATTTATCTTACCTCTGACATAAATGTCGCTTTCTGACTGGTTGAGCGCTCTTCTATTATTTTCAATGTACCCCGCTGTCAATGGTAACTCATTTGGTACTTCGTAGTAGGAATTCTTTACCTCGAATTACATTGAATCGATCAATCAATCTTTATTTCATACTGAAAGGCCACAGGCCTGTAGTACATTGATTAATCATGTGCGGGTAGTAGAACATTCTTTCTGAGAATAAAAGCTTTATGAATATATATGGACAATCTTTCTAAATGTGTTTTACTGGAATTATTCATCAATGATATAAACTTATCCCTTTCAGGGTGTACATAATAATATTTCTTTATATATCTATTTCTTAACGATAAGTATGCTGGGCAAACACATAAAAAGTGAAACTCATCTTCGACCTCGTGTAAGTTGCACATTGGGCAGATTCTACTTTCTTTCTTAATACTTTGCCTTTGGTATCTCCCTGTTTCAACATATAAATCATGCGCGGAGCAGCTGAATCTCGCCAATGAAGATTTATATTTCCTTACGGTCAAGACTGAAAGATAATATTTTGTATACATGGAATCTTTTATCATTTTGTAGTAAAAACATTTATTAGATAATGAGAGACTAGTTAACCAATTTTTAAGGAATATATCTTTAAGTCTTTGTTTAACTGCACAGACAAAGTGAGAATGAGATTCTACAAATTGTTCATGCCAGGCATTGCCGAAGCCGATAGATGATAATAAGTGTTTTATGTCTGTTACACAATTACGTTTTCCATGACTATCATATAGTATCATCATTTCATAACATTTTCTTGGCAATCTGTATGAGGGCATTGTTAATAATTTTAACCAATATCTAATAATGTTTACATTTGATTCTATGTACAATGGATATCGCGTAATGATGTACGGAAATTACCGATGTTTTGCGAATGCAAATCAATGGAGGGAAGATAACTCTAAATCTGTTTTCTTTTCAGCAAAATCTAGCGATGGCTACAAAAAGATTTGTACCCGTGCTTCAAGAAATTCAAAAATGACATTAAGGTGTTCAGTAAGATAAATACGTTGTTCACTGGTCCCTCGGGGCCAATGGGTTGATGTACCCTCAATGTTTGTTTATGTTGCCCTCGCCCTTCGGGCTCAGGGAACATAAAGAAACAGCGAGCTCAGGGAACATAAAGAAACATCGAGGGTACATCAACCCATGTCCCCTTCGTGACCAGTGAACAACTTATAATGTACCAGGGACATACAGGCTATCCACAAAATGTTCACTTGTTGGAAGACACTGTGACACCTAATCCATGGCATTCTTGTGTAAAGCAGAGTCAGAAGATACCCCATAATGTAATCTTGTAGGTGTACGTCTGTGTTTACAGTCATGAATTGCTCAGATTCGGCACCATTTAATAATCATTCTGATTAGAATGCGACGGGTCAAAATCAAATCTTCAAATTCCCTCCATTTCTTTGGTTGAGAAAATCTTGTCGCCCAGGCCAAGGATACTATGACACCACCGATTCTTCGATCACTGCGGTTGGGGTAGCGCTGGGTGTGTGGATCCTATTGCTAGTGTTCCCCCGCCGTAAATTTTAGTGTCTGATTCATTACGTTACAAGTCATAACCGAATTTTTGGAACTGGAAAGTTCAGTGCGATATTGCTTGGTGCAGAACGTAATCCATTTGGATCCAAAACCATCAGTGTGCGCTGAAGTGTGCTATGCAGAATTTATTGCATGCTGAGATGGATATGAGTATAAAAGCTGCCAATATGTAGACGAATGAGTTAAGGCATAAAAAGAGTGTGCTTGGAAGTCTGATAAGGGACTAACGGTTCAGACAATCACCTGATGAAGGGGCAATATCTATGTATCGATGGGTAAAGGGGCAAGAAGTAGCCCAGAAACGTGGTGTTATACAATAAAGAAGAAGTTGTCATCCATATACTCGTCTTATATATTCACCAACTTCTAAATGCCTCTCAAGAATCTCAATAATATAAAGGTATAATTATCCGCTATGATACATATAACATAAATATATTTTACAATGCCGATGATTATTTGTCTGCAGGCAGAATAGGTGTACTTGCGTACGTGGCAGACACAGTTTCATACTTAATGAAACTGCAGTGAAGACTGGATGTGTACTATGTATTATGAAATTGTTTTATCATGAGTAAAAAATGATTTGATTAAAATGATTTGTGCTAAAATGTCAATTCAATGAATTTTATTGTTGAAATTATTTTTTGTTTTGTTGCCATATCAGGAATAAAGTAAAATATTCTCTAAACTCTGGTATATTTTATGTATATCACTACGTTGTACCATTTCTTACATTTTCCATTTGCGAATTTAGGCTTACCCGCATGCTTATCATCACAGATTTTGTCCATTGTTCTCCAAATGCGGTCAACGTGAAAATCCCTGCGTGCCGCCCTTGTTCTTACAAACATCACAAATGTTTACTTCACAGTAATAAACCCAAAAACGTTTTTGACAACACTTACCTTTGTCCTTATACTTAATAAACATTGTATTTCATGATCCACCACTTTTTGTAAAGAGTAATTGACCCAACACCAATTGCCAAAACAGACTGAGTAAACTACTGACTGACTAATTTTGGTTTTTACGCCGCTTTTAGCAATATTCCGGCAACATCACGGCGGGGGACACCAGAAATGGGCTTCACACATTGTGCCCATGTGGGGATTCGAACCCGGGTCTTCGGCGTGGCGAGCCAACGCTTTAACCATTAGGCCACCCCACCGCCCCACTGAGTAAACTAAGCCTGAACAAACCAACGGCATGACGTGACATACAATGTATGCAACCGGGCAAATGGACATAAACATCTAGTACAAACGGGTATGTGCCAGATATAATATTAACAGCAATGGACATACTAATCAAAGGAGGGCAGTTTATGTAATATGTGGCCTTGACACTCAATAACACCCATTAACGTTTCATCGGACATATAACATGTTCTTGACAAAGTATCATGTGGTAAAAAGTTGTGATTCAAGTTGAAGTTTGGTTGAAAACTGACTGTGTTTGGAATATATCCCTGATCATGTACTCACCAGACACCAATGTCCCTCGGACGAGAAGTAAGACGGTATTCAGTAAATACATCTCTTCCCCGCGACACGACAACTCTAATGATTTCCATGAAGTGAAAGCTCACTTAACATAACGCTGGGCATCAATATGAGAAATCAATAGCCTTCTTTGTACGCCAATAAAGTTACGCACTGCGCATGACTAAAACACTAATTAGTTTTATTTGTTATTATCGACGCTACTAATACTCAATATATATATATTGCATATAACTATTGGTGCAGAAAATCAACAGAAAGTGGTTTTGAATGATTTCTGTCACAGTGACATTGTATTCCATTTCATCTTCCAGATGTTGCGACATTCATACGTCATCGTTGCTCTAGTTGTACCCAATCCATTCTCTTGAATAAATATGTTTAAATCAAAAATCAAATCTAGTTGTTTGGAAACGTCATCTCTATTTCTTACCTTGTACTCTAACTCTCAAATAGTGCCAAATTTGTTTAGATATAATGATCATATGTGATATGTCTTGTTATCTATCGTTTATAATCTGTTGTGAAATGCCTCGTGTGACGGAGACACAATTGCATGTTTTGACGGGTATGACATAGCTAGACGGCAACCAATCATCCGTCACCCGTTTGTGTTATAACTGAAACGATCTTCGAGTCAATAGGAGTGGCGGTATTGGTGTACCCCCAGTTTGCTAGCAACCAGCAGAGAATTACCTGGGTTTAGAGGACACACATAAATGAACGTGCAGGGTAAGTTGTTCCCTGTGTAATATTGTCCGGGGTTACTAGGCTAACCATAAACTTGACACTGTGACTTCATCCATTCATTTATTTAACATACATATTATCATCATCATCAATCTCATCAACCATCTCATCAACAGTATTATGAAATACTACCATTAGGCGATATTAGCGCTATCATCATGATACAAACATACATTATTACACAATATCACATGTATACATTATCACAAGGTGAGATACACTATCTCCGTAAACAAGTGGAGTTTTGACACCATCTTGCAGCAGTCTCTTCTCGCGGTCTAGCCGTTCTTCCAGCTGGCAATACTTCTTCTCTTAGGTCTCACACAACCACCACCCTGCAACTGCATCAATGTTATTTCTGTGTAGTTCTGTTCTGTAGACTTGATCAGACTGATAAATGTATATACATTAGGGTAGCACCAGCTCAGCATACTGGTAAGGTAAACTGTGTTCACCAGCTCAGGGATACTAAAAAGTGCATCACCTGTTGTTTTGAGAGTTTAGCACGGCCCACTGACCTGGAACCTTTAAACAATACCTGCTGGCAAACTGGGGACACCCGCGGTATTGTCTCTTTTCTTCTAGTACGAGTAATATGCTGGCATCTCAATGAAGTCTTCGTGCAACACTTTCAGATATTGTATAAATGAAAAAGGTGAGTGAGTTAAGTCACATCGGCAATATTTCAGCCATATCGTGACTAAAACTAGTTCTAAATTCATGATAAATGCATATATTTAGAAAAACCTTATCAATAAAGGACAGTAAAACAAGTATATTGTGAATATAAAACTAATTACTATGTAAATATAAAACATTTTAATGAGAGAAAACGATACTATATAAAACAGGCTATAGATTGCCAACAGCTGAAAGTAGATCACCATACCAGGGACTATTGGTGACTTTCAGTACATTTGCTTCCTGCATGGACCCTAGCTGGATTACACCATTCCGTCAGCTGTCATCACGTTTAGACAATCTAGAGATAAATTAAGATAACATATATTCTACGGTTAAAGATAGTGGAATTTACTTTGAATGTCTTGGGACTTACCTTGGGACCCTTAGGAGGACAGTCATTTTACCATACTTTAACCCCCTTTGAGGATATCACTGTATGGTGGGGAGATGGGGGTGAGTGTTACTTGGTTTAGTGCTTGGTGAAACACAGAAGTCTTTCAAATATCCAACATCCAGGCTTTCGAAAATGGACAGTGTATTAAATCATATCTCAAGATGAAGATACGTAAATAGATAACCATGCTTGGTAGATGAACACATCTAAGGGGCCGTCAAAGGGTTGTAAATATCATGGATCTGACAGACCACAGTATATAAGTATCAGACATCACAACAAAATACTGACAAATTTCAGGCTATTAAAAAGTATCTTGGAAGTATGGATTTTCATATAATTGTGTAAAGCCCAAAATAAATTGGATATTAAGCGTAACCGTGATATATGAGCAGTGCCGTGATGATGTATTGAATTAGGATGTGATCAGTCTCTATTCCAGTATGAAAATCCCAGCAAGTCATAGGCGGATCACTTTTGTCCTGAACGTTTATTAAATGACCATTGAAACGCTCGTGAAACGGGTGAAAATGAACTGTGCACCCCCTCTCCTTTCTGAACCGTGCAGTCTGCCACCATGGAAGTCGGACAACTGGTAGTCTAGACTGCGGACTTTGTGTACCCCTCTGATAAGTGTTAATTTGCTAGAGTGTTTAACGTACTAGAATCTGTACTTTACTGAGGAAGTGTAATCCCAAATATAACATATGTTACATTTGACCACTTTCTCAAATGGCATTGTGTATTTCATAGCTTTCCGCCGTGGGAGCCGTGCCAATTAACACTTATCAGAGGGGTACACAAAGTCCACAGTTTAGACAAACAGTTGTCCGACTTCCATTTTTGTGGAAGCCGCGGTGGTCTTGGCGTCTGAATTTGTGTGCTGGCGATTAGGTGCCTGACTCTGAGGGTGTGGGTTCGAATGCCGGATGGGACTCACTCCCCCAAAAGTACTAGAATCTGTACTTTACTGAGAGTGAGTGAGTGAGTGAGTTAATATTTAACACTTTACTGAGAAAGTGTAATCCCAAATATATATGTTACATTTGACCGCCTTCTAAAATGGCATTGTGTATTTCACACTCTAGATATGTTATCCGCTGCTGAAGCCTATAATCAAAACTCATGTTAAATGATTTTGAAAGCTTTTTCAAATGATGTCTCAATATCCAGTAATATTTATCAATTGTCACCGCATCAATAACACGAAAATTGGGTCCATGTAGGTATTTCGGGTACTCACCAGGCTGACATGAATGACGGATTTCTTAGATCATAATTTTATTATACCAATTGATGGAATCTGCATAGCGAAACGATAATACTGTATGTTTTAGTAAAGATGGCAAAGCGTTGTAGGATAGGGAGAAATCATTGGTGTTCATTTTCAAAGGGAAGTAATCGTAATGTGAAGCGTTATAAATCGCGAATGCAAATACTTTCATTTACTTTGAGCACAGTCATTGTTTGTATGTTGGGATATTGAAACTAATATTCACATATCGTCTTTGAAACTTATGAATGTACATGTAATCCTATCGTGTTATTTAAAAAAAAATAAAAATTTAATATATGTAATCAAATACACGTAGTTTCACGAACGCACACACATGTCAAAGTCAATATCTGAGGTGAAATTGGGTTTAACGTCGTGCTTGAGAATATTTCGCTCATATGACGACGTGCATGCGTGTGTATGTGTATGTGCGGCTGCTTGTACTAGCCCAGAATTAAGCTGGTTTTATAGTGCTAGCCCACTGAGATACCATGCCGCAGTGACGCATGAATACCCCACTCAGATACATTATACTGATTCCGATCCGACCAGTCCTTGTTGTACCCATTAATGCCGAGCGCCAGGCAGGGACCAACAAGTACCATATTTTAACGTATGACGCGGCCGGGGATCGAACCCGCGACCTTCCGCTCTCCGGGCGGACGGACGCTCTAACCACTACACCACGGAGGCGGTCAGTCAATATCTAGTACTGTTTTACTGTATAGAAGTAAATCCTATTTTCATTTAACAATTAATTGTCTTGTAAAATAGTCATGTTATGTTGTGGAATAGTAATAGGAATATATTACACATTTATGTTTCTGTTTCACGCTTAGTCATGTAATATTTTTAATATTGTTATTTTGAAATAAAAAGGCTAATTAAAAAAAAATAACTTGCATTTGTTGTTTTGATAATTATCCCGTGAAGAATGTTAGAAAGTTTGGCACACCTCAGTAGAAGTAAATTTATAATTTCTTTGCATAGAATTACACCAAAAATAATGTTCGTAATTGAAATAAATGTTTTAAAGAAAAAAGTGACGTAGCCAATTGAATTTGTACACATCGCTGCTGAAACACTTACGCAAATATTGTTATTTGTACAAACAGATTGATCGTTATGTTATGTTGTTGTGGTTTTTAGTATAAACAAGAGGCGGTGGGGTAGCCTAGTGGTTAAAGCGTTGGCTCGTCACGCCGAAGACCCGGGTTCGAATCCCCACATGGGTACAATGTGTGAAGCCCATTTATGGTGTCCCCCGCCGTGATGTTGCTGGAATATTGCTAAAACCGGCGTAAACAAAACTCACTCAGTCAGTCAGTCAGTAGTATAAACAATCGTTGATTGTACAATGTTTCTCTGTTCTATGTGAATGACGGGTGCTACCGGTAGAGCGGGACACGTTCATTCTTTTCGGGAACATCCGGTATCATCACTGTACTCCAGTGATTCATTCATTTTGTAGAGAATGTGCAATAAAATATGTGTTTCTATCTTACTAATATGTAGAGAATCTTAACCCAAGTGTCTACTGTTATCAGTTATATCAACACGAGTTGATAAAATTTATATCAGTAGACACGAGGGTGAGATTCTATTTATCATCAAACATCATTCTTCATTAGTTTTCAAAGAAAAATGTACATCTCTCAACACTGTACTATCATTAGACTTGCAGTGCAGCGATGTCATAGCATTCTGACGTCATCAAGTTGATGACGTCATAACATTTTCAGGGCATTGTACAAAATCTACTGTCAAAACGATATATCCTAGGAGATATCATATGATCTCAGACAAGCGATATCTCCTGTGGAACACAGTTTTGGATGATAAATGAAATGGAGAGAATGTTTTCAATGTGCCTTTCTACATAGCGTTGCAATTTAACATTACATTGTTACATTTTAAATATAAAAGAAAATTAATTAGGCTATGATAATGTC